AACATTTACTATCCACGTTGGATAATTGACTTCGCGGACGAAGCCTATGCTTTTGAGTTTTTCAACTTCTGCCTTCATTGCCTCGTACTGTTCAGCGTCATAAGATCTTCGCTTCTGTCTCACTGGCTTGGTCTTGGGGTTTATACTTAAGCAATGACAGATGATATTGGGAGAGATGCCTGGCATGTCCTCGTATGACCAAGCGAAGACCTCAATGTTCTCTTGCAAAAAAGAGATCAATGCCAACCGAATGGGTAGTGACAAGGTGGTGCCAATCTTCACCATGCGATCCGGATAATCTTTTGAGATAGAGACATTCTCCAACTCTTCAGCGGGTTGTGCTTGCTGGGTGAAAGAGTCATCTCGAGGATCGTTAGGTTGACTCTTGCCACCGTGAAGATCCAAGTTGGCTTCGTTTGGGCTGGTCTTTATGACTTGGTTATGTATAGAAAGGATTACGTTGGGTACATGCAGATGTTGTTGCTTGACCGAAGTGTTGTAACATGATCGTGCACTAAGTTGATCTCGTCTGATGTAACCATTACCATAGGGGGTTGCAAATTTCATCAACAACATATGTGTGGATACCATGACCTTGAGATCATTGATGCATATGCGTCCGAAGATAACATTGTATGCCGTTGGCAATCAACCACCAGGAAGTTAGTGGTAATGGTAGTTGTGTAAGGGCCTGTACCAATGGTGAAAGGTAAGTGTATGCTTCCCAAAGGTTGCACGATATCACCGGAGAAGCTTATCAGAGGGAAAATCGAGCGATCAAGCAAGTGTTCAGCTACATTAAGTGCCTGAAAGCTTCAGCAAACATGATATTGACCAAAGCCCCCGTGTCTACCAGGATTCGTCGTATTTTAAAGTTGGCTATGTGAGCTTCCACAATCAGTGGGTCGTTGTGAGGGTAGATGATACCTCTTTCTTCCTCAATGTAGAAACATATTGGATCCTAGTTAGGCTTTAGATACTTACCTCCCCTGATGTCTTCCATGTGAAACACTTGGTGGCTAGATCTTAAAGCTCGTTCACTATTTTTCATGGCCCTGTTGGAAGATTTAAATATGGGTGTGCCACCATTTATGAAATATATCACATTCACCTGGCGTTGGTTATGGTTACCTCTTGGAGGGTAAATGAGGAATTGATCAATTTTTCCTTCATGTGCCAAAGCTTCAATATGATCACGAAGGGTGATACACTTCTCGCCATCATGGCCGTTATGCTCGTGGTAGCAGAAAAATGTGCCTGTGTTCTTCGTGGGCTTGTAATCCGGGTGTCTCGGCTTTGGCTTCAATATCAGGTGTGCTATGCTGGGGTAAATGGCCACCCAATTGGCATTCAAATGTGTGTATGCCTCATACCTCAGGGTAGGGGATGTCTTGACACGTGCTTGGCCCATTGTGTTAACTGCCTTGGGTCGGGGATTATCATGGCGATACCCTTGGTTATCGCGGTAGTGTCTCTTACTCCTTTTACTAAAATAAGACTGGTAAGGATGAAAATCTTTCCTTTTGCCCTAAGATTGATATGTCTGTTGACTTGGCAAAGTATTAAGTAAGGCAGGGGGAGGCACCACTGCCGTTTGGAAGGTCGAGGTCTTCTCATTTGGTTGGATCTGGCTTCCACTCCCTACTTGCTGATAAGAGGTGGTTGTGGGGGGTTTCCCTTGATATGTCTTTGCCTCGGCGAAGGCATGGTTGTAAGCTTGTGCCATCACCTCAGAGTAAGTCTTCCAAGTGTTGGCATTGATCATGTGCTTGAAGAAACAATCACGTAGGCTTACCGTGAAGGTCTTGAGGGCGGTCTTGTCATCTGCTTCAACACAGCGAGAATACTCATGGCTGAAACGACCGGCATACTTTCGTAGTGACTCGTCCGGCTTCTAGCGAATAGTGTACAAGTCATCTGTAGAATGCAAGCGATCGATCTGGAAGATATGTTGAGAGACAAACAGTTTCCTTAATTCCTCAAATGAGTCTACTGTTTCAGGTGGATGACGGCAATACCAGTTTAGAGCTCCGCCAAAGAGGGTGGAGGAGAAGAGAAGACATTACTCTTCGTCAGTGTGCATCCAATATGCCATGGTGGACTCAAAGAGGTTAAGGTGTTCAATTGGGTCCTCCATTCCAGTATAGAGTTGTAAACCAAGTTTTTGTTTTGTCTTCGCTTGAAGAGGGGTGTCGAGGATCCTCCTTGTAAGAGGGTCAGGCCTAGGTTAGTTCCAATTAGGTATCTCAGCTTGTCGTTCGGCCTTCAACTTGTTTACTTCCTTAAAAAGTTGTAGGAGAAGAGGGTTCTAAGTGGAGTTATGTACCACTGGAGCTTTCTTTCGTAAATCTCCATATCCTCTTGGAAGTATGAAGGTTTGATCAAGAGCATGTGATTTTTCCCTAAACTCACCGTACTGACTTCCAAGGTATGCCTGTCGGAACATCTCTGAGTCCCTTATACCTTCGTGTTTCTCTATGACTTGTTGCCCCTTCCTCAAATTGGTAGCCGACCTGGGACATGGGAGGGGACCGAGTCTTTCAAAGATCCTTAGGTCATTGATCTTCGAGCTTACATGGATGGGATTGTCTCGACGTTGCTTTAAGAAATCTCGACAGTCGCGAAAGACAGCTTTCGATCCTTCCACTTCTTCTGTAAGGAGGTGTATTCCTCCACTTCTCCTGCTTTGGGTCGAAGCAGCTGGGTTGAGAGAAGTCTCATGTTGATCAATGTTTTGATGATTAGCTCGCTCCTTATCAGGGATACCCATGTCGAATGAAGGTGACCCTCCGTGTTGGGGGCACCCAGATGATGGTTGATGTCCACAAAGGCAACGAAATCGCATGTTTGAGTATGCCTAGTTTCGTGGAGCGTCTCAAAGAGCTTCTCATACTGCTCCTGGATGACCTCATTCTTCATTGCTATCTTGTTGTTCTGAGCTTCTAGCTCATCGACTTTAGCTTGAAGAGCAACCATTTTTTCCTTCCTTCTTTCGTTGTTTCGCACTAGGTGCAAGAGGGGTGTCATTCTGTATGTTGTGGGTTCCTTCGCTCCCCATGTTGGAGAGGGATGCCTGGTCAAAAGAGAGTGGGAATAAGTGTCGTTCCCACAGACGGCGCCAAATATTGATGCATAAAATCAGTGAAGACTTTGTTACAACAGAAAGTGCTAAGTTTGTGACCTTCGCTAGATTGCTCGTGACCTTCGCTAGATTGCTCCAGTCACTAGTGGGGATAAGTATGTAAATGGAAAGGGACAGGGAAGCAAACACAAGATGTACATGGTTCACCTAGATTGGCTACGTCCACGGAGTAGATGAGTTCTCATTAATTGTGAAGGGTTTACACAAGTACATATTTTCAAGCTCTCCTTTAGTAAGTACTAGTGAATGATTTAGTACAAATGACATTAGGAAATATTGTGAGAGAATGATCTCTATTTATAAAAGAGAGTTTCTAATTTTATTCTGACATTGACACGTGTCATGTTGTGATTGCCTTTTGATGTTGACACGTGTCGCACTATGATTGGCTTCTGATGTCGACACGTGTCGCGCTGTGATTAGCCTCTTAGTTGTAGGAAAACTCTTCTGGGTCCTTGATGGTATAACGTTGACCGGTGTTCAGTAGTTTCGGGATTGGTCAAGTATGGTACAAACAAATAATAAATTGGGTTTGGATGGAAACATAATTTGTAATTTGATAGTACTTGACTCATGTACTTGGAACCTAGGAAGTAGGTATGCCTAATTTTTTTTAATGACAATTTGATACAGGCATATATATTTTTCTTTCTATGAGATTTTTCTGCAGACATTGCTTGGCTCTCTCAGAGGTTGGAGTTATTGTAACATCCCACATTGTTCAGGGGAGAGGATCTTGTAAGCCTTGTATGTATATGCCCATCTGTACCAAGCACGAGGCCTTTTGGGAGCTCACTGGCTTGGGGTTCCATCGGAACTCTGAAGTTAAGCGAGTTCGCGCGAGAGCAATCCTATGATGGGTGACCCACTGGGAAGTTCTTGTGTGAGTTCCCAGAAACAAAACCGTGAGGGTGGTGGTCGGGGCCTAAAGCGGACAATATCGTGCTACGGTGGAGTCGAGCTCGGGATATGGTGGGGGCCCGGGCCAAGATGTGACAATTTGATATCAGAACTAATCCCAGGCCGGAAGTGTGCCGACAAGGACATCGGGCCCCTAAGGGAGATGGATTGTAACATCCCACATCGCCCAGGGGAGTGAATCCTGTAAACCTTATATGCATATTCCCATTTCTACCTAGCACGAGGTTTTTTGGGAGTTCACTGGCTTCGGGTTCCATCGAAACTCCGAAGTTAAGCAAGTTCACGCTAGAGCAATCCCATTATGGGTGACCCATTGGGAAGTTCTCGTATGAGTTCCCAGAAACAAAGCCGTAAGGGTGTGGTCGGGACCCAAAGCAGACAATATCGTACTATGGTGGAGTCGAGCCCGGAATGTGGTGGGGGCCCGGACCAAGATGTGACAGTTATTCCTCATTTCTACAAATCATATGACACATCAAAATAACTAATTAAAAGGACAAAATGAAAAAAAATTATGTATATATGTCAAAATGTAATTGGCATGAACTTAAATATACTTATGTTTTAAAGGAATGAGCCAAATATTATCAATTTCTAAATATGCTTTAAATTATGATTTGATAAAAAGAGAAATAGTCAACTCAGTTTCTTATCTATACATTACTAATTACCTTTAATTTTCACTTTTACCGAGCAATTGCACAAACTAGGGCTCATTCGATGATGTTTTTGTAGAAGTGATTTTTCTTTTTTAACAAACTATATTATCTCCTCTAAGGGGGAGATGGTGAGTTTAGTCTCACAATGGACTATTAATAATGTGGTTCAAATTCGCTTTTAGCGAGAATCGAACCTAAGACTTCTCACTTACAAGTGAAGAGGGATACCACTAGACTGTAGTATTAAGTGGCTGTATAAATAATTTTACTTATTAGTAATTTACTAGAGAGCCCGTAAATATTATTGTTGTTATTCAATTTGTTATGATAAAAATCGTAAAGGGAAACCAAGGTGTTACAAACCAGCTGATACCTAACCAAAAATATATTTCCTTACAGAACCTCTAATGATCAGTTGAACATCAATGCCATGGAAACCAATGACACCACCAACAAAAATCCAGTCTCAGTCGACTTCATTAGTCCTGCTCCATTGTTGGTGCTGCTTGGAGTCGCTTTCGAGCCTGATGACTTTGAATCGGACGTGGAGGAAGAAGCAGCAGCAGCAGAAGCTGAAGTGGGTGGAGACTCATGACCGTTACTTGTAGGGGATGTGCTAGAATTTGAATCTGCTTCTTTGAAAAACTTTGCATCGGGGGAATTTGGTGGCAGATTCAATATACCTGCAAACATGCAAACACAAAAAAATCAAACAAAAATCGCTAAACTTCGTATTCAGATAGCCTGAGGTTCAAATATTTTCATCATATTCGAATTTCCTAGGGTTCATACTCTGATATCGTAAGATTTCATGTTATAGATATCATAAAACGTTCTAGGACTCATATTCCAGTATCATAAGGTTTCATATATGGTCACAAGTTCTTTTGTCTTTGGTTACATTGGAGCGTTTGGTTCCCTGAACTTAGCATACTCTTATTCATCATTCTACCTACTCTCACCACTAGGGATAACCCCGGTGGCTAATGATATCATGTTATAGGTATCAAGCCATTACTTTGGAGACGTTAATCACATATAATTTCATAAGAAACTCATATTCAAGAATTGCACACTTGCGCATAAACAAATTGGCTAAGGCAGTATGCATCCTCGTCTGCATCCAATTTCAAATCTTCATCCATAATTTAGATTTCATCAAAGCTAAGATTAGACTATCACTTGAATTAAAAAAAAAAAGACTTAAGATTCATAAGAAAGAGTAGGTAAAATATTGGATGAGACATTATTTACTTGGGCAATCAGAGATTTTGCCATCAATGTCACAAGCTGAGGGCATCTGGAGAACCAAAGTGGTATTGACAGGAAGCCCCATGGAAGGGTCAGTGCTTTCTTTGATGAGAACACACAAGCACTTTGGTTTGTTGGCCTTCAATTTCTTGGTGTTTTCACAGCACTCCGGCATTGGTTTCTTCGACGTTCCACTCACAAATGGAATGCAAGCCGCAAGGTCCGCCATCTGGTCTGCACACTCCTCATCATCCTCCATTGTTGCCATTGTTGCCACGGCCAGTGAGGCCACCACAATGCAAAACAATCTCAGTTTCTTGCTTCCCATTTTCTGTGTGTTGTGGGTGATTTGTTTTTTGGGTTTTGATGCTGTTGCCTTTTCTTTTTGGTGTGCTTTTGCTTTTGGCTTTTGGGGTGGCAAGTGCATGCAGAGCAAGCTAGGTATTTATCAGCTTCCTGTAGTATTCATGGTTTGAAGTGTGACATTCAACACAGGAGATGGATAATGGCTGAGTTAATATTCTGGGATGCCTTGAGAAATGGGATTCCTTACTCCAAAGTAGGAAGAAATTGACATTCCCAATGACATATTTACATTTGTATTTCAGGTATCTGCAGAATCATCGAAATCTAATCTCTTTAAAATTTACGGAAAAAGAGATTCGAGCTTGTATGCACGCACACCTAACTTCCATTGCCCTATAACTAACAGGTCGAATCTACATTTACAAAATCTATTCTATTCCAACTAACAAAAAATAGACTCATACTTGAATGTTAACACATGGTACTCACTTTGCCTTCACTAACTAGCCAAACGCAAACACGCATCCGTCTTGAGCATCTGAAAATGGGATCTATCAAAATCAAAGTGAAATTGGGATGAAATTATGACGACTTTTTTGGTTCATTTGATCGTTTGAGAATCAGTTATACTAGTTTGCGAGTACCCAAAAATCAAGTGTCACTGTAGTGATCGCCACTCAAACATCCAATGCAATATAAAGCCAAATGAGCAAAGAAAACGAAGAAAAACGAAGAAACTTTCTATTAAGAAATCAAGAACACGAAGAAAACGAAGAAACAAGAGGTTATCGGGGGATAAAATCAACATAAAACATGGAAGAAAATTGCCCAAGATGATGAGATCACACAAAAATCAGCTCAGCTCTATATACAGGTGGGCAATTCCTCTTTACATAATTTTTCTCAACCATTCGTTGGGAAAATCGCAAAGGCTACTGATTAACAAGATGTGGACGGTAAAAAAAAAGGTGATAAAACTGTACAGTGTGCTATACAGAAAAGTATGAGTCTTTACTCTTCGGTAAATGCGCAGTGTTTCCGGTACTATGAAAGGTGATCCTGTCTTCCATTTAAGTCGGATGAAGTTGAAGCAGGAGGTCTGGATGGAGCAGGTTGTGGTGAGGGAGCTGTAAGGGCATAAGCAAGTCTCGATGATGAACTCTCAATTAGCCCAGCAATTCCGGCAGCAGCGGATTGAGCATTTGAAGGGAGGAAAAGATCATGTTTCTGATCCTTATAAGCACTCCAAACCTGAAAAACGAGCAATTGTCATTGCAAGAGCAACATCAGTATTGGCAGTCTCACTAAAACTCGGTGATGAACAATCAAGATTTTGTAATTCAGATTTCAAAATCTGAAAAAGTGCATCAGATAAAGATAAGCGTGAGGACTTACATCTGAGGAATTTAACAACTCACGCACTTTAGTACAATGCGCCCCCTCCGTTGCAAATGCATGCAAAACCTGGATCGCAGTAAGCCAAAATTTTCAAACATGCCAAGAAAAAGGGAATGAAAAACAGCTAAAATAAAACAATTGAAATGTGATAAAATGGATTCCAAGGACCAAAACCACCTTCAAGCTTTGAACAAATTACCATTTAAACGAATTCAAATGTTGAAACCTTCATGAGACCTAATCGGTGAAATATATAGTATTTCCTAATTCCTAATGAAATGAATATTATAGTCGAAAAAGCAGAGATAAGTTTCCTTCACCTTTAAAACAGGCAATGAGAAATTTTTTGAAAACAAAGAGGGAACAAGAACTCGGACAAAGTAATCTGCGAACATATCTTTGATGAAAATGTTCTAACCTCAATCGCGAGCACCCTGCCAATAGATGCTTCAGATTCATTCCACTTCATCTGAGAGCAAAGCCCATTCCTTCCTCCAGCTCTCCAATCAAGAAGGCCCAGAAGTACTTGTACAAGACCAACCCTACATTATTCATAGAACTTATGTCAATACCAAAATGAGCAGAAGACAAATTTTCCTTTGAAATCAGAACATCAGCCATTCCAAATCTGAACATAATCTACAAATATAGCCTGCCAACGAGCGTGTATGGGCAAATGTGTCAGGGATAAGTTTGCATGGTTAGAGGTTTAGTTGGCATTGCTAAGTGTGGCAACCATGGAATGTTATATGAACCACGTACCGAGTCTAGACTACGATCGGTAGAAAAATAATAAATCAAGACTACAGAAGTTACTCACTTAAGTCCTTGTGCAACAAGTGCATCCCTAGCTCGGTTTCCAGCAACCACAACACGCTTCAATGTCTCAAGAGCTAGTATGCTTCCACCTTGCCATCCTATTGCTTTCATTAGAAGGGGAACGACCTGTAAAATTGAATAGTGGTAAACATGAGGGGATTAAAAAATTGTGATAGCACCATACATGACAAAGTAAGAAGATATAACTGGAGGAATTCCTGCATGGAATTCCCTATGCTCTCCTCAATAACCTTATTGAATATGGACCAGTAACCGTCTACCTCAATTCAAAGTAATATGCATTCTAAAGAAGAAGTCAAAGATGAAGTACTCACTACTACAAACCTATATCTCCCAGAAATATAAGAGAAAATTGCAAATGAAGTCCTTTATGAAAACTTGATAGTCATGGTTTTACGATAGAAATAGAATACATGACTTTTAGATGTAAAACAAATAAGTACATCAAATAAATAGTTTGACGCACCTGAGGAGTTCCTACACTAGTCGCCGCCATAGCTTCAGCACATGTGGTGCTAGCTGCCAGTTGATGTAGAACACGTAAACAACTAAGGCGCACACGTTCTTGGGCAGTTTGAGTGGGCTGTGTGGATCCGTCATCAGATTCATCTGTTTTGTCCACATAATTGCCATTGTTTACCTCCTCTGATGCCATTGTTTCTCGTCTTCCTTCATAAGCCACAGCAGCCACGAGTTTGGGCACATATCCAAGATATCCAACATGATCTGCAAGTGCAGGGTGCACTCGTAATAACGAAACCAACGCAGCAGACAGAAGCAAAGGAAGTTCAGGGTCAACAGCTAGTGTATCGTAATGTGTGGCAGCAATAGATGTCAAATACTGATCTAGAAGTCCTTCCAAGAATCTCTTGGGATTTCTGAGAGGAAACTTGGGATCTTTTAGGAATAATCTAACATAGATTCCGCCAACCTGCATGAGCTGAAAACTGTGAGTTTTCCAAACAATAAGACACTTAAATGTTAATACGGCATAACCATGTCCTACCTGTGGCTCATCTCTCATTTCTTGCTGCCCAGATGCCTGCTCAGGTACATCCCAATCAACCACACGACCTTTCATCTGTTCGCGATACAGATCTGATGCCATAGTTGAAATCTGTGCAGACAATGAAGTAGCCATTGCTGGTGTCCATACAAGTTCAGGGGTCTCAGTAGTCTGTTCAAGGGCAACTACGACAGCCTCACCAGGTCCATCCCTAATAACTGAAACCAAGCCATCTGGAAGAAACCTTGCTAACGTTATAACAACTCTAGGCCCGTGCATTGGCTGGCCAACAAGCTTCCCCAACAAAGAGGCTGCTGCTGCTCTTTGTTGTAAGGAAATTTCTTCTGCAAATTATGATTCATATCATAAAAAAAAAGGTTAAATTTTTCTAAGTTAATTTTAAAAAATAGGAAAAGATACAAAAAGTATTTACCCTGCAAAGGCAAAAGAAGTTCAAGGATGTAGACAACTCCCCCATGCTTGGCAGCTGCCCAAGCAAGTTCAGGTGTGCTGGCCAGAGCATAAAGAACATGAAGAACCCCTTCACGACAAGTTGGGGCTGAGTGAAGCATTTGTAATAAAAGAAGAAGGCTTGATCCATCGGCAACCATAGCCTCCAAGCAGGAAGCATATGTAGTCAAGAGTGACAACACACTCAGGCAAAGTTGAGGAATGTTGCTTTCTGATGCAACAGGCACAGAAAAGCATCCGAAAAGAGGCAATAACTTATCTTTTGTAGAAAAAATTGACGCCAAATTTGGACTGCTTGTCAGTAAGTTCTGCAAAGAAAAAAGGAAAAAAAGGTCAGATATATTAATAAATTTTTAAGTTTGGAACATAACAAGAGAGCAAGATACCTTAAGTGAATTCAATGCAAATTTAAGGTTCTTAGCAGCTTCAAATTCTTCCTTATCTACTACTTGTCCATTAGATAGTGCAGAATCTTCAGCCGGAGTATTCTGTTCATCAGTTGAACCAATAGCCGTATCATTAGAATCCTCAGGTGTCTCAAGGGATGAGCCATTCTGATTTGGTACATCCTTAATTTCAGAATCAGTCGCACATTGATTGTGCACAAGATATGCTATAAAATCAACTAATGCAACACAGAAAGCCTCTGGTTCACTGATCTCAGAATCTGGTTGATTGTTATAGACCCTCAAGTAAACATTGCCAACATATAGTTCTTTTGATAGTGCCTTATACCCAAACAGATGTGAATCTTTCATATCATATGAACCATCAGGACCCTGACTTGCACGTTGCTGATCCACAAATTTCAGTAGTTCTGCTCGGGTTGAGGAGTTCCAGATAATCTAGTACCACAAATAAATAATACAATCAACCATAAAGAAACTAACATTGCAACGCAACCAAGTGACCCAGACACAGATGTTAAAAACTATGCATGCATAAAAATTTACTGTCATAAAACTATAAATGCAGAAACTAGAGCAATTACCTCTGGTGACTCCAAGTTATTGTTTAGTTTAGATAGTAGGTCTTTCGGTGCTTGATCTTTTAACATACTGGCAAGCTTAGGTGTCAACAAAGCTCTGAGGGCAGCAGCTGCAGTCTGATTATAAAGTGTTGTACTCTCATCACTACACAAGCCACTAAGCCTTGATAGTGCCTGCGAGGCACGTACAGCATGCATATTTTTGGCAATTTGTACACTAGCACCAACTCCATGTGATTCTGTTGCATCAGATTCCTCTGCAGTGGAGTCATACTGAAGAAGCAAGGGCAAAAGGTACCTAAAAGCAAGCACACACAATGCAACACAACGAAGATGAAGATTAATTGCTGTTTTTACATAAAAACATAGCATAACAATCAGTTCTACCAAGTATCACTAAGAAACTACAAAGTTTGAGATGCAGTGAGATAAAGTGACAGTCAATGGATTCACAATGAAACACCATTGACACCAAGAATTAATAAGCATTTGTATTCTCCCATATCCGACCTTAGAAGTCACTTATAACTAATGCAGATAAAATCAACTAATGGAGATCGCAGACTAATTTGACATTTAACTGAGCAATAAGCAAACTTGCATTTAATATTTAAAGTAACTATTTGTGTAAGCTGACTTACCATAAGACACCAGCCTTCAGCAAAGCATCCTGCAATTCAGTGGACACAGAAACATGTGCAATAGTCTGGACAGCAGCATCGACAGCAGAAGGTACAAGCTCAAGTTCAGTGCAATGCACAATGTCATCAACTAGTCCAGAATATTCAAGGATCTCAGCCCAGGCACTCTCAAATATACTCAAAACACAAAAGGTTCGCATCACATTTGTAACAATTATGGCAGATGGTTCACTTGCAGCAGTGCTCGGCTGAACTACGCAAATGCAACGGGAAAGAAGATTTGCAAGAAGTTGTATGCCACCATCCCTCACAAGCTCTTCTCCATTCAATGAAGAAGATGCACACCTAATCATGGAAATATAAACACATGCTATCTTCCTGTCAACATCAGTTTGAATAATAAAACATATGAAAAAGTGGATTAAAGGATGTTTTTACGTCAGCCAAATAAGCTCTGATGCCGCAACCAGGAGAGGTGATCTATCTGAGGAAAGAAAATTGTTATCATCCTTGTCCACAGTAACTGCATTGAGCAACATTGGATAACCAGCATATTTAAATGGCTCCAGAATGACTCCATAGCGTCTGTACAAGATACACTGTCCTTTCAATAAAAGCAACAGTCGCCAAGGCTGAGGGCCTTGCAAGCCTTGCATAGTGGCCTACATACAATAATACAGAGTTATCAAATATCTTAACAGAAGGAAGAATACCTATCATCTTCTGTCCACACAAGATAAAATAAAATTAGATACCTACGGCTACATAGAACTTTATACAGCTCCAATACATTAACAAGATTACAAATGCATTCTGAAAAGATGCATATCCAAAGGCTTAAAAGGATGCATCAAAGAAAAATACTCAAATACAAAAGCACTGAGGTGCACAACCAATATTTACAGAATATAGAATACTAAGCCGTAAAAATGGCATCCACTACATACATAAAAGACTTAGATGCCCAGTACAAGTCTAGAAAAGAAACAGGTTCGTTCAGGTAATTTTCATGGTCATCTTTGAGATACCGAAAATGACCAACATCCAACTGCAATGAATTTCTAGAGATTTTGGAGCAAAATGAATTTTGGACATGTGCACATAACCAATATTTTAAGCATGCTCGTTAAACAAAGACCAGTTCTGTGGGGCAGTATGTACCTGCAGGCGCTCATAAGCTTTCTGTACAGCAAGAAACTTATCCCTTCCTTCAGGATTTTTGTCTGGATGGTATCTCATGGCAAGTTTCCTATATTGCCGTTTAAGCTTTTCTTCATCAATGTTCTCAATCTGCTTGGTTATGCTAGGCATCTCCTCACCCATCTCAAAAGAATGCCTTGTGTTGGCATCATCATTTGATACATCTTCCAAGGAAATCTCTAATATTTTGCAAGCTTCTTCTTCAGAAAGATCCATTGGCCGTCTTGTCAACTCCTCACGCCACATTACTAATAATGATTGTAGGAACTCAACATGTTCAACAATTGGCCAATTTGGAAATCGAATCTCATCACACAAGTTCCGGAGGTAATAACGGTGACACCACATTTCATCTCTTAACTCTGGGTATGTCACTGGTGGCATTGGAGCGTATTCATATAAAGAATGGCAGTGCTGAGACAATTTCTGAGGAAAGTCACCAAGATGCTGCAACACCTGGACGAAGAAAATATTTTGAGATCATTAATACTCTCTATACATAATAGTAACAAAACACATTACTCATTTAAAGCTTCAAATACCTGCCGAATCAGATTTTCCGCTCGCATCTTGTGTGTCCATATAATCTCTGGAGTATCAGAGTCCGATACCATTGCAGCTGCAAATGCAGCTGGACCACTACGTTCCAATACATACAACAAAGATGCAGGAAGAAGCCCACCCAATACACTGCGTTTCGCCAGAGGCAAGGAAGAGGAAACTGCAGCATCTTCACCACCATGAAATGCTTGATGAACATGAGTCAATGAGAAGAGTTGGGAGATTGAAAGGAGATTAGATCCAGGATATGTCAGGGCAAAATAAAATACCCCTGTGCTGTATAGTCGAATCATGGGCTTGGGATTTCTAGTTACAATGGCCTTAAGTAAAGCAGCAGCACCCTCTACAATACTTGGCTCTCCAGAAAGCATAGCCTAAATAAATTTGGGAAAATAAATAGTGATATAATAATGCTTTTCACGATACTTCTTAATAAGGGCCACATAAAAAAAAATGAAAATGAACTATGCTAGAATCACCTGAGCAATATGTGGAAGGCAGCGTGGACTTGACAAGATCCATTTTACTCTAGGAGTTGGGGTAACTATCTCTCCAGCATCATCTAAATCTGAATGTGCAGATACCATGCTATGTAATATGGACAATGCTGCCTCACCAATCTGAATACAGAAACCGTATACTAGAACATGTCAAGCATATAAAATGAGAAGAGACAAGAAAATGGCAACTTTTCTACAATATAGTACACAAAAGATATAAAAGAGACTTCAACAAAAACCATTCACCCCTATTATTTTAAATGTTTTAATAGATGTATCCTTATGTATTCAATTAACTGAGGTAATATTCAGATGTACCTTACCATGAAATTCAATGAAAACCTATGATAAACCAATTGTAGGAGATCAATAAATTGAACATTAACACGTCTAGGAGATAACAAATAGAAAAAAGCATTTGATATTTTATCTACAAGTTTAGCACCCGTTATAATTACTTGAAACTAGAGCTACAAGTGCAGCAAAGATTTGCAGAGAACAAACTGCTTCTAGAAACAAAAAGTCCACAATTGTTACAACATAGACCAACTTTTTAAGTCCCATGCATATTAAAACTACACCTGAGTTGGCGTGAGAACAGGGACTCGAACAGCTAAAGCCCAACGAAGTTCACGGATATCCCGCAATCTCTTCCAGTCCAACATCCCAGAAGCCCAGCATCTCGTTGTCCAATTAATATCCTTCTTTGACCAAAATCTCCTAATGGCATCCTTTTCAACAGGTCCAACCTGTGCTCCTTCCTTGTCAATAAACATCCATTCCTTGAGCGGTTCCATAAAAGCAGCAGCAATCAAATTAGATTGCAAAGGAATAGCTGTCCTTTCAGAAGCCTCATGAGCTACTGTTAGCATATCAACAGCTAACACACATCCTCCCACCAAAACACACGCCTCCACATTTGACAAAAACCTTCATTAACGCCTTCACAAACAGTAAATATAGAAAGTTATCATCTTCCCCATACTGAACTGAAAATGAAAAGGCCATTTCCATTTACAAGGATGACAAGTGGTTAACCTACAAAACAAAAGGGTGGCAAAACTTGGAACCCTGGTGCGTAGTAAAGGCAATGAGAATGTCTCGATGCCTTGTTGGTGAACTCTCAGGCAGTTTGTCACACATATCCAGAAAGGAAGCATATCAATACATGCATACAGCTTTTATTTATGAATATAAATATGAGAAAGAGAGAAAACCAATCTGAATTACAACCTATATATGTATTTGTCAGATGTTATTCCTGATTACACAATAGAGAGGTAACTGGGAAGTGAAAGGAGCATAGATTTTGCATAGACAAAACAAATTTAAAGAATTTTCATACCCAACTTTGTTGTAAGTGTTCCCAACCTATCTTCTCAAACTACCCCCACTGAAACCCAAACTGATGTCAAGCCAATTTGTATTTCTAGAGAAATAATAAATAAAAGACTTGTACCTTCAAGAGCAATAGAAGGCGGTGCCTTAAAGCTCTATCATCTGTCCTATCCAAAAGGACTGTGATGTGAGCAGTGCCCTCAAAGGGACCTACTGTCTTGTAATGCTGTTCATACACAATTGCCATCGCTCTTGCACAGAGCTCTCTCACTGAATATCCTCCTCCACCTCCAAAACCATCTAGTCTTCCCATGTCACACCAATCATCAGATGCACCCATTTCATCTGGAACAGCACCATCTACGGTAAGTCCTATGTCTGCATCACATAAGAACCGATGGTAGAGTGCTCTAAAGAACGCAACTGGATCGCGCAACGGAAAATTTTGTGCCCTGCCAACACTGCCACTCTCAAGCAGTAAACGCAGATAATACTGACCCACACAAACTTCTTTGGACAAGCTTAGATATCTAACAGAGAACTCAGAGTAGTTCCAAGATATTTGTGGCACGCTATCTTGACCAGTTGCAGTCTCTACCATAGCACCTCCCGGAACAATATCTTCAGTACGCTCCTTCTCAACATCTAACTTATGAACCTCAGCCTGCAAAGTCTCCCTCAACTCTTGCCGGGTACGCTCATTCCAGATCAAATCTGCACGATTGTGATCAAGGCTAAATGCTCGCCAGAATTCAGGCCAATTACAAAGTAGCCTGCCGGATCCCACCGGAGTGTTTTCGACAACAACCTGAGCAGGAGCAGGGAGGCCTGTGCTCTGGAAACCAGTAGTATTGGAATCAGAATCAGTTGAGATTGAAGTATTTGCTTCCACTGCCTCATGAATGCTCGTTGACTGAATATCAGCTGACGCCACAAGTGCTGAATGATTCTTTTGTGGAACACCTGAAAAGACTTCAGCCGTCAAATTTTCACAGGTTTGACTTTGAGCAACAGAAGATTGAAGAGTAGAAGCCCGTCCAGAACTCGAAACCAGTGCAGACCTTTGATTGTTATCAGCCTTAAAAGCACCACCACCTGTCTGTGTCATGGGATCACCAACTTCAGAATTGTTTATATTAAGTAAGGAATGCTCTTGAGATGTTGGTCCTCTCCCTGCACGACCTTTCCTCAAGTGGAGTAAGCGTCTCTGCCTTCTGCTGGTCAAGGATCCTTCTTGATTCGCATCTTCCAATTGAGTTCCATCAGAACGTGTGTGCAAATAAGCAACAAGCCCAGGAGGCAGAACTCTAGACAATAAATCCAGAGCTGGCTGATAAGAATCTGCCCAAAGAGCAACAAGCTGTCGACTAACTTCACGTCGCTCACCAGGAGGAAGGAAGAACGCATGCAATAAATGCCTCAGTAGAGCGCCATCGCGCAATGCAGCATCACGCATTGACTCTGCTGCAATTGCATCTTCTTCTGCAATTGTACGCATGATCACAGCCACTGTTTCCCTAACACTTTCAGCAGGATGTCCAAACAATGCAAACAAACGACGCTTCAAACCAGCTACTTGGCGTAACAGTTCAACAAACACTGTGTATTGTGTTGTCTCACCATGTGGTTCACATATCATAGCCTCAAGAACCTCAACAATAGCCATTGACAATAATGGTGATACAGACATAGGCTTAAGTCTGTTGGAGAGTATAATAGCATAACCATGATTGGCAAACAACACTGACTTTGTGTGCATAATTGTGGCATGCTGCTCTCCTTTAGAATCCGTTAGTATATTTGTATCCCCGGGACCACCACCAATAAGTACTGCGACAAGGCCTGCTGCTTCAGCAGCTACACCCTCTGAACCATTTCTGAGTAAGCCCATTATTCTTCCAACAGCAGCAGGAAAAGACATGACATGTGAAGCAGCAGTTCTTGAAGCTAGTAATCTACGTAAGCATGCAATAAAGCCCATCACCGTCGCAGCCGCTTTAGGTGAAGGGGGAGGTAAGGGAGGGGACTCTGGAGGAAGATTTGGCGTAGATGGAAGCATAGTTATTAAAGCCATCAAAGTCACCTCAGGTACTTCTATGTTCGGAGGAACTCCACTATATGGTATACATGCATTGAACTCTCTTATTCTACGCCATAGCTTAGCTCGTGATCCAGGAATAGAACCACCTTCAGAAACTGCATCTTTGGCAGCTGCTGCTAAGTGTTTCAAATGCATAGATGCACTCTCCATATCTGCAACAAGCCGCTGGAGTCCAAATTGTAAATGGACTCTCCCGCAAGGTGGATCAATGCCATGCCCAGGCATTGTCAATCTTGGTAACACAGTCACAGAACATTGGCCCTGCACAGATTCAACCAAACGCTCAACCCAGCCCCATGAAGAGAAATCATTGCATTATGGAAGAAATTCATGGGTAAAACCTGATCAATATTTACAAGAGCACGGAACTACCTACTTCTGTTTGCAATAGATCCCGAACTGCTGCCAGTAGGCTATCACGAGACGTGCTTGCATAAACCTACAATCCATCAGACACATCAGAAACAAGACCTCGTGATAAACCTGGAATTCAAAAGGAAGGTTATGCTCACATGGATGGGACACCCATCATTGAACTCAATTGCAAACATTTGGGGCTCCTCAGCAAATCGAACAAGTGCGTATACTGCAGATAAAGGTCGAACAATAACAGCCTGCACACATCTAGTGACTACTCTCAACATTTGATATAATTCCATGAAATGCTAGTATATACAGAAGTAAAAGCCAACAAAGTTTTAAAGAATTTAAATTTTCATTATTCCATTCTTATAATTTGTTTATGTACAAAAATTGCATGGGCTTTGGGTCCTGAGCAAAAAGGGTCCCTTATTTTGTTAGAGTTTATTCATTCATCTGAAATGTAGCACTTGTTTTCTTATTCATTCCAGGGACAGCAAGGTAAATGCTTAAATTTAGACATCTTTTATAAAGGAAGCCTAGTTCAAGACTAATGCCCTGAACTTCATGTCACCAACCTAAAGTTTGTTTCAGTAAATTCATCAGCTTACTTCATAGTTCTCTGGGCGTCTTTCAACAAGAGAAACTTTTGTAAGAATCAGTTGACGAGATACAGCATCACCATTCTCCCCAAGTCCACCTTTTGGGCCAACACTCAAACTCAACCCTGGAACATTTAAAGTTCCACGAGCAGCAGAGCGCAACCTTGTCACAGACCAACCTCCACACGGAGTTTCTTCTGCTCCAACTGCCTCTTTTGCTGCATTACCAGATAAATTGATTAATGAACGGCCAAATGGACAATGTTGCCGGAACACCAAAAGAACAAGAAAAGAAGATAACTACTACAAAGAGCCCCTAGAAAAGGGTTAGAAAGTGCTACCCCTTCGCTTTATGTACTCTGGTATAGTGAGAGACTGAGAAGTGTCCACAGTTAGTGACAACCCCACCATAGATTTTGCTGTTTTGGTCTGCATGAAATGCATTATAATAAGTACTGATTCAAGAGGCATATTAAAAAATAATCCCTCAGGACAAAAGGGTTTTTTAGGGGGGCACTTCATACATAAAGTTGAACTTATAGAAAATGAGCATTGACATAAAGTTCTAAAGAAATGTTAAAAAAACAAAAAATTGATAGCTCAAGGTTAGTCATACCAAACTTGCAATGATAACTGAATTCGTGGTTCCAGAAGCAGCTTGAAAAGCTTTAGATTTTCTTCCATATAGAGGACAAAGAACGAAACTTCCATGTTCTCCGCCTTTCTTTCCATAAGCATCAGAAAGGGAAACAATGGCAGGTGAATCAAAATCTCTGAAATCCAAGCACCAACGGAGGTCTCCACTTTTTAAATCAATAAGTTCAACCCCAACATAAGTAACTTTTAATTTCTGCAAAGCCATCAATTGTTACAGAAAATCAGTCTAATACTTATATAGAGCAAAACGAACATGTCAGTCAACATAACTGACCACTCAAATATTATCAACATTCAAATAAACATCAGTTTAGTAAAAATCATTAACGACGTATACTTGCAACTTGCAAGCAACATACATTCATCCAAAATTCAAGAAAGCTGTGTTCAAGTCCACTTTTTTCTTTTGTACAAGAAGTAACGGCATGAAAAAGTAAACCCATTTCTGATTATTCTCCCCAGTTCCATAACTTCTATGCTAAAACTATTCGGTAAAGAAGCATACTACCAGTCTCCCAAATTCCATAAATTCAATGCTAAAACTATTCGGTAAAGAAGCATACTACTAGTCTCCCAATTCCATAAATTCGATGTTAAAGCCTAAAACTATTCGGTAAAGAAGCATACTTTGCACTAAAGCCCCACTCTTCCAAGGCAAATTTGCTCATGGGTTTGAAGCAATCAGATTATTACCATCGAATCTTCGACTAACAAAGTTGTGAACTGCCTACTGATTCTTCTACTATCAAATTAGCACAGTAAAACGACATTGCACAAACACTAACAAGCATTGGAAGAGAAGTAACTTACGAGTGGGACCCACTCGGCATTCCGGCGCCGGAGATGAAGCACCGGAAACTCAGCGACGGCGCCAAACCGATTCCTCCTAATCCTGTGCAACTCGGTCAGTATACTCGCTCTGTACCTAGACGAGAACTTAATGCCTTTGAATTTCCCCCGTCCGTCCGTCCGAACACTCAAATTGAACTCGTTGGAGTTCTCGTCGCGGCTGATGATCGGCGAGGCGGAGTCAAAATCGGTGGCGACGTCGTAGGAATTGGTGACGGAGAGCGTGGCGGGGTCCAAGGTGGTTATGGCGACGTTCGAGAGGCAGAGAAATCGCTTGTAGCGGCCACGCCACGAGTGTTTGATGACCAAGTAGCGGGCGAGGTACTCCGGCTCCTCGACGACGGCGGGGGCAGAACGGGTAGAAGAATTGGAGGAGTTATTGGAGCTGTCCATCGGCGCGGGTGCGGGTGAGGGGTTTTGATCGGGTGCGTGGCGGCTCACGGATTCTGCGTGCGGGAGGAAGTGGAGGGTGTGAGTGCGAGGTGCATTGTGGTGGCGAAGAAAGAACCAGAGTCCGGAGCCGGGTCGATCCGGTGGAGGCGCAGAGGCCGCGGCCTGAGACCGAGACTGAATCGCCCCCAGCTCTGACGGTTATTTACGGGTTCTGCCACGGCGTCCAGTTTTTCTTCTATTTCCGATCGATCAAACCCTATCTGAACCGGATTGAATCATCGGAAATCGTAAGGCCGCGTTTGGATCGAAAGAATTGGAATAATCAATTAAATGGAAGAAAGAAGAAAGAAGAAGAAGAGCTTTGCTTCGCTGTGTGAAATACTGTCAAAACCACATCCTAACTTTGGCATCGACATATCATTATCACCCGACGGTGACCAATCTTTAAATAAGAAACGGTGCCGTATTGCACTCAAAACTTTTTGAAAGTTCACTTTTCTTTTTTTTTTTTTTATAAGTGTTTTTAGCACTTCACAAATAATTCATCTTTTTACAAAATAAAAACGAACTACTCACTCGTGCATTCTAGGATACTATTGAAGATAAACCCCCTTTTTATAAAATAATTCGCTCATTTTAATATTTCACCCGACTTTTGTTTCATGAAAAGAAAAGGTATTATGCACAAGAATCTTTAACACTCAAAATTTGATGTCAAAAGTTATGTTTAAGTAGCCAAAGGTAGAGCTCTCACTTCAAATACATCCCACACGGGATTAATTTAGTTAGAAATTTCACATCTTTTACTTAAGATGTGAACTTGAATTGTAAGGGAAGAAATATCAGTCTCGAGATATTTTTAATACCTTTGTCGTAGTGTCATGTGGTATATATACATAAATTTTTTATAAAAAAATTATCACTTGAATAGATAAAGAAAATATTGAATTTTTATATACATATATAATAACTCGTAAGCTAATAACATCACGTAACATGCTATAGTCATGTTATGGTGACATTAGAAATTTATCTTTGCGAATAGCATATTATGAATTAATAACATTTCACGAAATTTGGACTTACTGAATATTATTTGGATGGTGGCCCAAATTATGAGTTATATGACTTGGACTTACTTTCGTTTGTCCTTTTTGGAGGGAAGAGATCCCCTCCCACCAAGTCATAGGGATTCAGAGATCCGAACCATTGAAATTTGATCCAACGACTACAATTATTATAACTTTTGGAGAGGCTCTCTATTTGTAGCCATTTGATCAAATTTCAAGACCCTGGATCTACGGATCCCTAGGATTTGGTGGGAGAGATCCAAAGGGGATCTCTTCCCCTTTTTTGAGGGACATAGAAATCTCAAATTATGTTGTTTCCGCACAAGTCTTAGTTCTGTCTCAGTGAAATAAAAGTTTGGAAAAATTTCAAGTGATTGTTCAATGATGACATACAAAAATAACAATAGATTCAATTTTTTTTCATCTTCAATTATGTTTATCGCATGAGTTTATTGTTTCCTCATATGTCTACACAATAAAATTAAACAACTAATGAGAAAATTCATCAATTTACCCTAGAATTTGTACAATTCCCTTTCTCTAGTTCTCAATTGTTCTCCCTTCCATCCCTCATGGACTCGCCTACACCAACATGGGATTCATTCGAGTAGATGACGGAACTACGTGAAAAGGTAGATTAATTCTTACTATTTCCCTTGTACGTACATTATTACTACGTACTCACTCTCAACATGCATGCATAACTTCCTCTCTCTTTGTTATGTTATTCTAACATGATATCGCAAATGGTCATTTACCATAATGGTGGAAAGGTGTTGATTCCTTGCAATACGGCGTGGGTTCAAAATCCGTCGATAACTAATCTAACGTCTAATCTAATAACAAAAACAAAAAAAATGATATCGAATGGCTTGTTACTCTCCCCCTCTAATAATTTAATTGTTTTGTTTTCGGGCCGTACGTAGGAAATCTTGAGCAAGGAATTCTTTGACCTCTCAATGAAAACTGTTAATCTGTCTCCGAATTTAGGTCGATAGTCTCTGAATTCGTTGATGATGGTTTGCAACTTCTGTCTGGCTAGCCTGAACCCTACTTATCTTGCAGAGTTGAGTACGCAAAGGTCCACGATGACGCCAAGAATCTTAAGAAAATCTGCAGAGAATTTGGAGCTGTGGGGATGGAACAAGAGCGTGTGCTGAGCTGCAGAAACTACCAAGATAAAGGATATTGAACGTTGCGGTCTCTCCTTCAAGAATTTGCGCGCGGAACATGATCGCCTATTCGCCTTGTTAAGAATCTAGGCTTTTTTCTACGGGTAAATCTCCCATTTTTATTCATCATATGATTTCAGTTGTTTATTTATTTAAAATTCACTTTGGTTGTGCTTAGAATAATCTTACACTAAGGGACAGTGACAGAGTCAGAAAACCAGATCAGGATGGGCCTTTAAGCCATAGAAAGATTAGCCTTTGAAATATAATTAATGTGAAAAATTAAAGGTTTAGTTTTTTGTATTGGCATGGAAAAATTTAATCAAACAAGAATCATGGAGCTTTAAATTTGGTCTGAAAAGCTTAGTATTGAAATGAATATATCCTAAAAACAAAACTTGTTAATGAGCTTTGATAAAAAAAATTAACACATTAGAGTCGTATAAAAATTTAAAAGTACGACTTAAAATTTGATTTTGTTCTAGACTGTATATGCATTTTTTTATATCGACTAGCCAAAAAAGAGGGTATGGTTTTTACATGTTAAAAAATAAGGGTTAGTTTTAATATGGTAAAAAATAAGGCAAATTATAAGAATTTTTTTTTCCTTCAGTTTAAAGGAATCTAATAAAATACTGAAACACTAGGAAGTCTCAAACCCAGGCCATTTGGAGTTGCAAAATCCTAGGAGCCAATGAGCCACATGCTCATTTTGTAAAGCCTTGCAAATAAGCTGAATTTTCAGGGTAGGCCCGGGCCATCATTGGCCTCCATGTGGCTCGTTACTACTAAGAGTAAGGTGAAAGAAATTGAGTTAAGTCACACGATGAATTGAACCTAAGACCTATCACTTATAAACTGAGAGAATGTTACCAGACTCTAGTGCTAATTAAGTGACACTTTTAGAGTAATGTAGTTTAGACACACAAAACTAACATCGATGATTATATAATCTCTAATACAAGTGGGCTTCACATATAATGGTAGGGCTCATCTCTATTACACTAATAGAAAAACCTATCTATTTACACTGATTTCACAAGTGTCATTTAGGGAGTGTGTTAACATCGATGTGAATGTTGTGTGTCTAACTTGTACTTAGTCTAATGATATATATTTATCTTCACTTGTAAACAGCAAGTCTTAAGTTTAACAACGTAAAATGACAAGTTCAATACTAATTTATTATGTTCCATTGTGTGTGGGTCGGCCAAAATTCTCACCCCTTTACCCATTTTGGTTACCTACAGTTTTACACAAAAGATTGCCAAATAAACTAGTTCCTCTGTAATCCAGCTCGAACTAAACAACCTTTTGGTTTCGAGTAAAGCTCTTTTTATCGATATATGTATGCCCCCATTTTTTTTTTGAACGCAGATGCGAGGGATTTTTCCAAATCAACCCTGACGAGCAAATCCAGCAGGCTGCCGAGGATATTTTCGACGGAGTTGACAGCATAGAAGAGCACATTGCTAGTGCAGATTACAGTGTCCAAAGGGCTCGTCAAGCAAAAGCAGCTGCTGATGAAACAGCACGTGAGCGTGAAATTCAGCTTCAAAAAGCAGAGGCAAGGGCAGAAAGGGTTAGGGGTGATAACCCTTCATCCGGCGTCAAGGTCAAGTGTTTTAGTTGCTGTGGAGCCTAGCTCATAGTTGTTGGTTTTGCACTACTTTTTCCTCTCAGTGTTGTGAGAGGTCGCAAGCTCGAATTCCCGACTTTTGATGACAAGTAATTGGGAGAACTCATAAAAATAATTCATGTATTTCCGGAAAATTAAGTGGTATGTGAGATGCATATTAGCATTTTCTCTTGTTGTGTTAAACTTTTATCATACATGATTTCAAGGTTTTATTTTTTATAATCACAATGCCAAGTGTTTAATCAATTTCGTTTAGCTACCACTTTGGTCACCCGGACTCTCTTTGAGAGACACAAGTTGTGTGAAACTTTTCGTGGCAGATTCCGGCAAGCAAATGCACACAAGCTTGTCCCGCTCTGATCAACCTCGGCTTCCGGCAAGAAAACACAAACTTGTGGAGTCGGAGTGAGGTCCATAGCCGGCGTATATTGGCCTTCCCCGTCCAAAGTCAGCAGTCGTAGATTGAAAACCTAGTCCATTGAGTTATTGTCAATTTGCCTACAAATTCCAGCCGCGTTGGCCTGTCCCCTTCGACATAATCCACCGTTGATCTCAGGTATTCTTTGGAGATGCCAGGCCGCGCTTCGTGAACCAAACGTGTTGTGTCCAAAAGCCTTCCATACACAAGCTTTCTCACAGTGCTTGTGACACAAGCAAGGCACACCACATTTCCGTAACACCCTTCTTTTACCGGCAGGTTCTTAAGCTTCTTCCGTGCATTGACAGAGAATGTAAGCCTAAGCTCGTAGTTTAACGGCTTCACATCGAGTGCTTTCACCCATGATCTCCATATGTGAGCAGCAATAGCATCAAAAGTGCTGCAAGTGCTCGACATGTCATCATTTCGTTGTGCCGAAGTTTTCAGCCAGGTTTGAAATTCACGGCTTATTCTATAGCACCTTTGAAGAGCTTTGGTTTGCCAGAGACTCATTGTGAGATTTGGTCCGTCATCAATTCTCATGTACTCAATGTGTGGGAATTTAACCAGCGGCGGATTGCGAGGTTGGAAAATTTCCCTGTCCCAACACGACGCCGGGTTTGAGATCAATGTGCCGGCTTTTGCGGTGGCAGCCCAGGAGCTGAGAAATTGTACAGCACCAATCCCATCGACAATACAGTGGCAGATTCTCAAGCCAAGGCCTAACCCTACGCAGCGGAAAAGAGTCACCTGAGCTATCAGCAATGGCATGTCAAGCACTTTGTATGGCTCTTCGTGGGGAAACCTAAATATCAGCGGCGTCCATGACGCGTTTGGCACTTTGAGGTCTTTGAGATCGACCAAGGACCTTTCGCAATGCGCCTGCACCATGAGAGCTCCTTGGTCTTTCCCAAAAAAACACTTCTAGCTTTCCATTTCCAATCTCTCTCAGCCTACCGGAAAAAGGGTAGAACGGAACCAAAACACTAGCAAGAGCATCCTGCCGTGTTTTCATAACCGGTTTTTGGTCATCGGAGGCAAAGAAATACACAGTGGGAGTGAAAACACGGGCTCCAACCACATCATCGAGGTTCGAA